CAAGGTTAACTGAGACAGAAAGGTGCATTTTGAGGGTTTACATGAAAACAATTTAATTGTAGCTGTCATTGAAATAAAAAGTTGGAAATTCAGATGGTCCAAATCTAATATCTTCTTTGACAAGTCATCTTGCTCCTTTGTCCAAGTTACATTTTATTTATAAATCACAAGATCACGTCATCGTTTATGCCATTTCACATGCGTCAGTCTGTGTACAAGCCAGTGTTAAGTCAAGGTATTCATTCTGAAGGCCGGCGGTTGAATAAAAAAGTACATTTTAGACAAATCGTACACGAGTTGAAGAAAAAGGAAGATATGCGCCAACTTTGTGTTGTGTGTGTACAATCACAGATGTTTTGCTGGAGTTCATCGTAACACGGGGTTTCATCATGCCGTTTTCATGCACAGCACCTAGTGAAATACGGAATAGTCGATACTTGCATTTGATATTCTCTTAAGTTTTGAGAAATGGCAGGTAAATTTTGGTGGTTTTCTATTTGAGTTTGAACAGAGACATATTCTTGACCACGTAACTTGGGTGACTTTTTTCTCTTGTCCCTTTTTGTAACTCGAATACTGTTATAAAAGTTCGGGCCAGTGAGGCTCTAGATATAAATGACAACATGAAGTTTTGGTCTTGCCAAAATTAAATGTGACGTGGGTTACGTGGAGATAAAAACAAAACTGAATGGAGTGCGCCGTGATACAGAGGCTGTATAGAGCTTTTGGGACGTGATTAGGGTAAAACCAAAATCTTTACTGATTCGACATCCAGTGGATTCTCTGTCATTTTCTGTTGTTGAAATTAAAAGAACTATAGGGATTGTTTGTTTGTTTGTTTGTTTGTTTTTGTTTGCCCAGTTTTGTGCTTGTATTTGGGGGAGCAGATCTGTTGGCGTGACGCAAGAAGATTAATCCAATACAAGTTGGACATGCATGTCTTTTGTGAGGATTTCTGTTTGAAAATATCAAATGATTCTGCAGTTAAAAGAAAGCAAATTAGACTAAATATTTTTCCATCAATGAAATAAGCAGGCGAGTGTTGCCAGACAGTGCCGGCCCTTGATCTGTTTCTCTTGCACCGTCAATGATAAAAATTCACTATAAAGATATGTCACTGTTTTTTCGATTGAGATCACTGGGCAGAAATGGACCCCAACACGGTTGAAATCGGTTTTATTGTCAAACATCTAAAAAATCAAGATTATGTATAAAAAAGTTATCCGTGTATTTTACCCAAAAAATTGCCTGAAGAGTTTTGCCCTCACGAAATAAAAAAAAAAGTTGAGGGAAATATGTAAAAGTTATGTGGTGTTGACCAAGCATTCAGGCGCAGGGACTCCTGAAATTTGCAAGAATCGCAGTTACCGGCTTCCATATAGGACTCTTCTGCGATCTTGGGGTTCCCGGCCCACCACACTTCCTCCCTGCCCATCCATTTAACTCTAAAAAGAGTTTGAGCGACCATGCAAGGGTGGAAACCGAGACAAACCCCTAAGCCCTGGCCGCCGAGTCGGCCATACATCTCGAACCTGTACTAAGGCGCTCACCTGGACTTCGCGGACAGTCCCAGGAGAAGAGCTTATCCTGTGGGCTAAGGTATTGTTGGTATTTGGCGGGGTTGAATTAGAGTCTCTTATAGCTACTGACTGACAGCAAGCTTTGGGAAAATAAAAGTCACCGATGGGATTCGAACCCACGGTCTGACGATCTAATAACCAAGAGCTTAACCATTTTGGCAATTTCAGAGAATTGCTTCGGGTCGTTCATATTTAAGTAGATGACAGATCCATTAATAACCAAGTTATACCGCACAGAGTTTTGCTCTGCAAAGACTGAGCGGTTAAAACGCTACAATAGTGCATCATGTAGCAAAAATGCACAATTGGCCTACACACAAATCTCATGTACTGGTAAACTCTTTTACTGTGTACATGTAAATGTAGGCCACTTTTTCCCCCTTATTATAATTTTCTGTGAGCAGTTTGTATAAAATACTCCCAGAGGAGCCATTCACTGCAGTTTGAACTTATCTGGCCCATGGTTGGCCCATGGTTGACCATGGTTCTATGGCATAGTCATTGGTGGGGCAATGCCAAGTTAATAGACTGGCCAGCGGTACGAGGAAAGTCTGGATTGGTTTGATGTTGAGTGATTGGATAGATATTTTTACCCTCAAGGAGACGTGCTACCATTAATCTTTTCTTCGAAAAGGATGTGGAGATTTGAAAGATTTTTAAGTGGGAGAAATTCGTAATGACGTGGTATTTCAATGAGAGCATTTTGGACCTTAACCCTCACTCCCTGGTTTGCTTTTAATAGGGGGAGGGTGTCTCCGTCAGCATGGCCGAAATTTGACCCGCCCAAATCTGATTTCCTGGCGGGTCCCCAGCCTGCCGCTGGCGGCGTGAGGCACGCCGCGAGGCCCTGCGGCCCTGGCCCGGCCTGAGAAATCCTCCGACGGTGCAGCGAAGGAGACATCCGGAGGCCGGGCGGCAGGCTCTTGGCCCGTGGGACCAGCGGTGCGTTGCGGTGAATCCCCATACGCGGAAAACTGGGCCCGAGAGGTTCGGACGTCCGGGGTCCCCTGCGGCCACGCGGGCCAGGCGGCTCCGCCCAGGACTCTGAGAGGGCTTTGCCCCGGGACCTGTTTGGCCGAAAACGTGCGTATTTCAATGACAGCATTTTGGACCTGAACCTCACTCCCTGGTTTGCCTATTTATAGGGGGAAGGGTGGTCTCGAGCTCAGCTTGAGCTGCTAGAGACCGGGGCAGCCACACATCGTCCGCGTAAACCCATGCATTTCCAACTCGATCGAGCCCAAAGCTCAAGAGCGGTCCCTCCGGCTAAGCCAGCTCCGCAGCGACGGGACGGTTGGTGCTGCGCGGTGAATTGTTATCCTCCGAAAACTGCTGCAGCCACACATTGTCCGCTTAAAACAGTGCATTTTGGACACGGTTGAGCGCCAACCTCAGGGCGGTTCCCCGAGCGAACCCCTATCTAGGGCGGTGGTGCAGTTGCTGCGGCGCGGTGAATTGCCTTCCTCGGAAAACCTGGTCCGAGAGGTTTGTATGTGCGGGGGTTACCTGCAGCTGAGTGGACCGGGCGTCTCCAGCCTGCCGTTCATCGGCTCACCTGCCCCCCAGGCCTCTGAGAGGGCTTTACCCCGGGACAGGTTGGGCCCAAAACGTGCGTATTTAAAATAGAGCATTTTGGACCTTAACCCCCACTCCCTGATTTGTCTATTTATAGTGGGGAGGGTGGTCTCGAGCTCATAGGGATAGGGTGGCAGGGAGGCAGGGGTGGTGGGGTCCAGCAGCAGGGGGAATAGGTCCAGCGCAGAGGGCCGGCCGGCGCCCAGTGGCCCTCGGGTGGACCGAACTTGGAGGCTTTTGTGACCGGGGATGACCAGTGGCAGGTGCGGCGGGAGGGCCCCCCGGCGGGGCCCCGTCGCTGGTGGGCCGGAGGTGTCCCGGACTCGGCAGTGGAGCGGGTGCAGCCGGAGGAGGGCCTGCCGGAACTGAAGGCGGAGTGAACAGGCGCTTCCCCGGTGGCTGAGGATTGGCTGCTGGGCTGCATGTCTGATGCGGCAGCCCCAAACTGACTTGAAATCCAGGGTTAATAGTGTACCCCGCAGAAGGGCTCTCGAGGAGTACCGCCCGGGTGCCAAGTTGCCAAGTCGGTCCCAATGCCATCGTGCGATCAGCTGTTCGGCAGGGATGAACTGGGGCCTCCAGCCCGAGGGCGGCATCCCGCAGCGGGCGGTGTCGGTCCCACTGCGGGTGCCAGACGGGGAGCGTTACTTGGGCGCCCGCTGAAGATTTCTTCCTCAGACTCCGTTGCCGCGAAATGGCAAATCTCCGGTCTTGCTTCGACTCAGGCGCAAAACCCGACTCGGCCCCACCCGCCGCGTAAAGCCGTGCATTTCCAATACGATCGAGTCCAAAGCTCGAGAGCGGTTTCTTGGGCAAAGCCAGCTTCGGAGCGGCGGGACGGTCGGTGCGGCGCAGTGAATTGTTATCCTCGGAAAACTGCTGCAGCCATATATTTTCCGCTTAAAGCCGTGCATTTCCGACACCATCGAGTGCCAAGCTCCGGGGCGGTTCCCCGGGCGAACCCAACTCTAGGGCGCGGTTGCTGCGGCGTAGTGAATTGCTTTCCTCGGAAAACCTGGTCTGGGAGGTTTAGATGTGCGGGGTTCCGTGCAGCTGAACGGGCCGGGCGTCTCCAGCCTGCAATCAATCGGCTCGCCGGCCCACCCAAGGCCTGTGAGAGGGTTTTGCCCCGGGACTGGTTGGGCCCAAAACCTTTTGGACCTTAATCCCCACTCCCTGGTTTGCCTATTTATATGGGGGGAGGGTGGTCTCGAGCTCAGCTCTAGCTGCCAGCAATCAGTACAGCCATATATTGTCCATACGATACGGCCATTCCCAACCGGTGGAGCCCAAGGCTCCGGAGCGATTCCCCCTCGGGTCTGGACAAGCCCGATTCCGGAGCGGTTGGGACTGGTGGTGCGAAGCGACAAATTGTCGTCCTGGGAAAAAAAACCGCCGCAGCCGCACGCCGTCCCCCTAAAGCCGTGCATTTCCGACACGCTTCCCCGGGCGAAAACGGCTCCAGGCCGGCGGGGCGGTGGTGCGGCGCGGTGAATCACCTTCCTCGGAAAACCTGGTCCGAGAGGTTCGGATGTCCGGGGTTGCCCGCGGAGAGCGGCCCAGGCACCTCCTGCCTGCCGTCCATCGGCTCGCTGGCCCACCCAAGGCATCTGAGAGGGCTTTGCGCCGGGACAGG